CTGCAATTAAAGAGATATGATGATAATAGGGTGAATGTCAATCGATATTTTCTGCTGCATCATTCATGCTGCATTACTGTACTGGATTTTCTGTCTGCATTTTAAAATTCTGATCAAAAGTCAATCGAGATTTAATCATTCATTAAAAAATAACTAAGAAACACGAGGCCCAGGGGCCTTTACCTGCGTATAATTCCAATCTTGTAAATGAAATGGAATGGCAATTTTATTTACTACATGTATATAGTAAAATAAAATAAAGTGATTGAGGAAGATTTCCTGCAAAAAAAAAAAAAGTAGATAAATAAAAAATAAAACTAAAATAAAATTTTAAAAAAGGAGGAATTCGGTGATCAGGGATCAACAAAAAATAGTTAATCTGGATAATCAGAAGCAACCCAGTATAGTTCATTTATTCGATTTACCTTTTTACATCATTTACAGTGATTAATCATCATAGGTGAATAACAAAGGGAATTAAATTAAAAAAAAACAAAACCAAACAAAACCAAAAAAAAAAAAAAAAAACAAAACAAAACAAACAAAAAAAAAAAATCCACATATGATTGTAATAGAATCCAGTCGTAACCCCAGAGCCCGTGACACAGGGGCCATCAGTTTTATAATTTTGAAATAGTCCGATCCTCAGGTTCTGAAAATCAGCTTTTAAGTAATTGAAAATGCTCACAAAAATGTCTCTGATTTCATAGAGTAACGTGAATTTACCCATGGTGTTTCTTCAAAGTTCATCATTAAAGTTAATCATATTATATAGGGAAAATTATCCCATCTCAAATATATTTTCAGGAAATGGGAACAAAACCACCAGCTATGCATTATCTAATTGAAAATGATCAACAATTATATTTTAGGATAAAAAAATATAGGTATCCAGGCATTCAAAGAAAATTGCATTTTTTTATGCTTATACAGTATTTTAGCTCTTCTATTTACTTCAATTGTTATGTTATACATAGTGTAAAAAGCTTGTGCTATCATTGCTAGGCATCTTATATTACGTCTAATTTCACATTACGTTTAATTTCATATCATGCTAATAGGCATTGGTATCTAATGCTAAATTAAAGGAAATTTGATTTCTCTTAAGATGAGTTTATTAATTTCTTTCAACTCTTTACAAAACCGTTTTAAGACTTCAAAGAACCTTGAATCATATTGAGGTGCATAAAATGAAAATTGTTGCATGAAAAGATCTCAGTTTCAAGCTTCATTTTGAGACTTTATAAATAAAATAATAAATTTGAGAGTTATCCAACCTGGCCGAGGGGCGGATATCCTCAAAAGAGACACCCTTCTTCATCATAACCATGCACTTATTTTGTTTGCTAAATTTCCAGGAATTTCAAAGATATTATGCATTTTCACTATATAATCAATGGAGCTCCGCCTTAACTCCAGCACCCCTGACCCTAAGGACATGAATTTTACATTTTCGATTGAGGGATTAATACTTATTATAATAATACCAACAATTTAATGGCTTGAAGTCCAGGAGTTAGGACGATTTTAAATTTAAAGATTGCATCATTAATTTGGATGGTTTTAGCCGTACCCCTCAAGGGAGTAGAGGCCAAGAAATTCAAATTTTTTGTTCCCCTTTCTCCCATACATGCTATATTGGTGCAGAGGTTCCAGAGAAGAAACTGAAAATGTTCAAATGTAAACGGACGCCACACAATGAAGGACAATGGAGGACAAAAACAGATTGCAATAGGTCACCAAAATGTCTTTGTATGATTTTGTTTGCTAAATATATTGGATTAGAGGAGAACCTTTTCAAAGAATTAACGCAGTTTGCCATAAAAATAGAGCCCGCCTTACACCAGAACCCTTGATCAATGGGCGATTGATTTTAAAATTTTGTAAGAAGCACTCTTGCTCATCATTGTCATGCACTTAGGTTGTATTATAAATATCCAAAAGCAAGAAGATTTTCGAAGAATTGATGCTTTTTAACTATATGACCAATAGGGCCCCGCCTTAACACCAAAACTCCAGATCCCTGGGCCATGAATTTTACACTTTTGGTAGAGGGATCAATGCTTATTATAAACATGCCTAGTTTAACTGCTTGATGTCTAGGAATAAAGAAGGAGATTTTTAAAGATTACGTTAATTTTGATGGTTTTATCACCACTCCTCAGAACCCAGGGAGGGGGGAAGGGCCATGAAATTCATAATTTTTCCTCTTAACCCAAAGATGTTCTATGCCAAAATTGATTGAAATTGGTTCAGCGTTTCCAGAGAGGAAGCTGAAATTATTCAAATGTTAACCGACAACGCACGATGCACGACGACGAACGAAAAGAGATAACAATAGGCCACCTGAGTGACTCGGGTGACCCAAAAAGATGTTTTTCAACTTGAATGAAATTTTCACTACCAATCTTCGTAAATTATGCATAGAATCATTAAATATTCTCGTGCAACTTTATAATATATGGGGCTTTGTAAACCTTACCATAATTTAGCAATTTGATTAACATGGTCTTTTTCGGTTATATCAACAAAGACCGAGTGTCTCTCTTGATATCCGATTTTATTGACCATAAAATAATCACCATGGCGATAAAACCTGTGTTTATTTTCTCACTTCATTAGAACCCATCACAGTTAGAAACATCTCTTGTTTAGACTGACACGAAAACAGGACGGTTTATTAGCTGCGTGTCCTTCACATCAACAAGAAGAATGTCTTAATGCGCTAATTATCGACAATTAAAACAACCGAGATTTAATCAGACTCATCAAGTTCACTAAAACAACAGAGAGGGGGGCTGAAAAAGGGCAGCTATAGTCACCTTCCTCTCTGATCTTCCTCGTAACACGTAAAAAGATTCAATGTTCGAAATAATTTCACAAGAATGATAGGATTTTATTTTAAAAATTACTTTCACAAGTGCGAAGTATAGGAGTGAAAATATATTTTAAAAATCTAAAGTAAACTAAATTCTAAATCCAACAGCAAAAACATTATTTAGTATTCATTACATGGTCTTTAGATTTGCTTTTTGCCCCTCCTAGCTAACACATTATTGCAATTCAACAAAATTACAGTATTTCACTGTTGAAAATGCAATAAAAAATATTCACATTTTCAATTGTGAAATAATGTAATGGAATAAAATCATTATTTATCATAGATGATATTTTCACAGCGTGAAATTTACAGAAGCGTGAAAATAACAACCGAAACAACTGTTCTATTTCTTTCATTGAGCTGATATGTATTCTGTGGAAATCCCTCTCTGGACAAATCACCTTTAACGTCACATAGTGATACGGCGACTATACACCACATGGTGGCACATTTTCGCCGTGAAAACTCTCTGTGTTCCTCCCCTCCACGCAATGTCTTTTAGAGAATACCCCCCATAGACAGCTACAGTGAGTACACCAACCTGCTACATGTACTGACTAAAACAGCTAAAGTTTCTCGAGATTGTTGATTCGACCTCACAAGCGCTACGTTTTTGTTTTCTTTTTCAAATAGTAAATCTGACAGAGAATAAATAGATAAATAAATAAATAACAAAGTGAGGTCATGTGAAAGGTCTATTCGTTCAAAATTTATGTTTTGTCTTTTGCATTTATTTTGTACTTATGTTCACTTCGCAATGTTGTTTTGAACAAGAGACAACTAATGGGGCAAAAAGAAAACCGATGGAAATGTAAAAGAAAGTAAATTCAATGCTTCGCACTCGCAAAAATATATAAAAAAAAATCCTGTCAAACTTCTAACCCAATCATAAAACATTGAGTGTTCTCCGTATACACAACCACAAATCATTGTATTTCTCTATATACACAGGTGTAATGTTATTATTCATTTGAAACGACAATCAGCATCTTATAAATAGAGAAATTTAAGTATATATAAATATTTTAGCTAATTTATAAATGTATGAAATTTTTTGAATAAAAATACTTCAAATCTTCAAAGTTATAAACATAAAATTCATTTATTTCCCTTCATGAATACTTAACTAGAATAAAAATCGAAATAGAGTAGAATGGTAAATATCCCTAACAAAAGTGTTGATTGGGATTTCTTTTTAAAAAATCATTAAAAGTTTTTTAAAGGAAAGGTATGGTATTTCGAAATTAATCTGTATCCTATAAGATGCACTTAAATGGAAAACCATATACAAAGCTGCTTTTCTATACACACAACTGTGTCAGCCAAAGAACACTATGGGAAAACAAAACATAAATAAATAAATAAATAAATAAATAAATAAATAAATAAATAAATAAATAAATAAATAAATAAATAAATGTTCATGAAGTCCAAACTTTATGATATTGAATTTTTTTAAACCATGAATATACTTGTATATACTGTAATATTAGACTCGACACCAGATCTATTCATAAGAGGTTATACTATTTATACTTTACTATTCCTCAGAGTTAGATTATTGATACAGTGCCTTATTATTCGTAAGGTTAAGTAAATATGACAGTAATTTAGCATTATCAAAAGTTAAATTATTAATGCAATAATTTTTATTTTTTGGAAGGGTTAGATTATTATTTTGTACTGTAGGATTTGCAAGAGCTAGATATTTTAATATTCAAAAGGATTATATTAATTTTTGCATTACTTATTCATAAAGATGGGGATGTTAAGTTTATTTATTTAGTATTAGGTCACTAGAGTCACCGAGATGATCAATTGATGTTTCAGTCCGTCATCGTGCATTGTCATGCACCGTCCGAAAACTTTTGAACATTTTTAACTTCTTTGAAATGGCTGAGCCAATTTCAATCAATTTTGGCATGTAGTATAGAAATTAAAGTTTTGAATTTCTTTCTCACTGGGACCTGAGGTATAGGGCAAAACCATGAAAATTCGTGCAATCCTCAAAAAGCCAAACCATTTCCGTAAATCCTGGACAAACCGTTTGCAAGTCCAAGGATGTGTTTAAAATTTAAATTGGTCTAATATTGAAAATAAATGTTTTGAAAATCCTGTT